TGTCCCCCGAGCTCCTCCCTCGGAGTGACGACCTCACGGTGTACCTCCTGTCCCCCTCGCCCCCCCCCCGGAGTGACGACCTTACGGTGTACCTCGTGTCCCCCGAGCTCCACCCCCTGGAGTGACGACCTCACAGTGTACCTCATGTCCCCAGAGCTCCCCCCCCCCAACGAGTGAAGACCTCACAGTGTACCTCGTGTCCCCTGAGCTTTCCCCGCCTTCTGGTGGGGCCCTGGAGTTCTGACTTGATGGTGTACCTCCTGTTGCACGAGCTCCTCTCCCCCATGGCGGGGATCCTGGAGTGACGACTTGATAACTAGGATGGCTGCAGGGACGAAGCCTGGTATCTTCAGGACAAAACCATGACACTCCACAGACGGCTTTGCCGCGTGGAGTGAAACCCCGGCAAGGCGAGGAAGACTGCCGGCTGGAGACGGAAGTGCAATCCCAGCATGGTCAGCGGAACAGGTCAAGGACTCAGTGCTCCAGGAGTTCTCCCGGTGGGGGAAGCATTTGCATGTGCTGATCGCATTGCCCACATCTCATTAATAGTTCAGCCGGGCTCTAAGTCCCGTGAGGGCCATGGCCGTACTGGCAGTGTTTATCATCATATCTCCAGGCTGGCACAGTGCCTGAATGAATAGCCGAGACCTCCCTTCTCCTCTTCAGATCTGTTATAATTATGTTTGCATGTATGTGTGTGTGGCCATGGAGATTTCTAAACATATATCAGAAACATTGCTCTAGGATCCAGAACACTCAGTTTTGGGCAAGGACACTCAACCTCAAGCAAGGGAAGAGGTTTTCCTTTTCTTGCTCTTTCCCGTATTACATTTACTTGTAAATATATAAAATGGCCAGTCTCAAACCTTTTCCTCAGCAACAGCTAAATGTGCTAATGCCAAGTCATACTCAAGACTAAGTTAAAATGCAAGACAATTAATTACCTTGTTAACACAGGAATGGGCATGAGCCTTTCGGTCCTGTGGTCTTTCCTCTAATGAGCCCTAGAATAAAATCCTTTAAGGATTTATGAATGAACGCGAACGACATAAAAAGTCTTGCACATCTGCAATGGTTTTTGGCCTGAGCGGCCTAGCGATGTAAAATACACTGAAGAGAAGTGTCCGTGTTGGACACCAGTCAACCTCCCGGTCTCAGCTGCCTTCAAACTTCGGGCCACTTCCCTGTGCTTAATTATACCAGCAAGGCAGAACACATCTCATTCTGAACAGTCTAGTAACAGGCCCAGCTCAGTTAGGTTTTTGCTGGCATTTTTAAACTCAGTCTCCTGGAAGCTCTTCATGTTACCTCCTTCCTCATGTGCCAACACTTAATGAAAGTCACTGCTTTCAGAGGACAGAAGAACATCATTGTGAGTGATCTACTAAAAAGCTCTAAAGTTTCAGATTGTGCCCTTAACATTTCAAGTTTCAGAGAAAAGAGCTGCCTTCTGTTTAAGGTGAATCCTTTCTGCTTTGTTTCACATCCCGTCTCACCCAAGTCTAGACCTTTATCTTGTCCACCTCTTCTACCTCTTGTTCTAGCTTCTTCCCTATCACCTCTACCATGGGAGCACAATTTGCTTCTCTTCCTTTCATACTGCTAACCAGGACTCTTTTTGCCCAAACTCACCAAGACTCCTATCTTTTCTGAGATACTCCTTTGGTGACCCAACCACGTTTTTACCTGAGCCACCTGAGTAGGTTTCTGTGCTATGCAACCAAGAGAATCAGAAAAGGCTTGTTCCTTTCTTGCTTGCTCAGATCATTACAGAAATCTCTGACTTGACTGGTAACCCTTTAATCCTGCTCTTTCAAAGTTGCACAGAGACCATCCCTCCCCACCATAGAGGAGGCAGTGGCAGGCCTACCTGAGGTGGAAGGCCGACTTGTCAGCCTGGTTCTATTAGCAAATAAACGCACACTGAGGATAATGAAAGCCAGGTTTCTTGCTGTTGGAGAATATATTACAAGCGTGGAAAGGGAGATTCCAGAAAGAACCCTCGTGTTGGACGGGACTTGGAGGAGGTATGAACTCATGTGTTTTGACATACATGTACACAGACCCAAAATAGTTACGTCTGTATTAGTGTGTCTGTGTGTCATTTTATGTATTTTGTATTTCTGTTTGCTGAGAGTTTCCAGAAGCAATGGTACCCCCATTCCAATAAGCACAAGTAACTCCCAGATTTTGGTGTCTAGATACCATTTTCCAATAAAAGGAACCAGAGATCTCTGGAGAAACAGTTGACTTCAGGAGCAGTGAAAGTACAAGATGAGCCTGGAATATTTTATTGTGCCAGGAGGTAAGAAAATGCTTAGAGAATCATGTGCTATCAAAGGACATGGGGGGCATGTCCTTGACAAGACTTGAAGGGCTCTTGCTGATTAAATCTGGGACAATCTGAGCCCCAAAATCAAGGATGACATTGGCAGATTATAAGCCAGGGAGTAAAACAGGAACCCGTGAGTCCATTCTGATGTAGCTGAATGAGCGAGTGAGGGGTGCACAGAAAATAGACTGTTGGAATCACACAGATGGAAAATTCACCTTTTAGCAGTCCCTGTAGTGCAAGAGTGAGTTATCAAGGAAGGCTAAGGGCAGCAGGTGGAAGTTTGATGAGGAATAACACTGGAATACTTCCTACAAGACACTTAGCGATTACAAAGGGAAAGAGGAGCACAGCAGCATTCCTGGGGCGTTCTGCCAGAGAGCTTGAGAAAACTTGACTCAAGTATGGCCTTGGGGCGATGCAATGTAGGGTCTCCCTCCGTTCTTACTGAGGAATTAAATATTCCAGGTCACAAGACTGAAGAGACACAACTATACCCAATGTGTGTTCCTCTGTGGGATCTGGGCTGTGAAGGAAAAGAAGTGTTTTGGGGACAATTGGTGGAAAAAGGGGGTCTGTGGTTTGGACAGCAGACCTGTAATGTAACCAAGTTGACTTCCTGACTGGCAGGCTGTGGGGCAGAGGCTGTCCTTGTTTTGGGCAAACAAACACTGGAGTATTTTGGAATGATGAGTAATCCTATCTGAAGTTCTTTGTCAAATGACTCAGAACAAGTCTAATGATAATGGGTAAGCATATGTGTAGACAGATGAATGCTGGATGACAGACGAGTGGAGCAAGTGTGCTGGGAGGTTCATGGTGGGAATCTCGGCAATGGAGGCAGGGAGTGCTTTGTACTTGCATACTTTCCAAGTTTGAAGTTAATCCAAAAGTCATTTTTAAAAGTCCATATTTCTATCAAATGGCCAATTCAAAATGCAGATCTGATTGAATCTCTTCCCTGCTTACATATCGTTTGCTTCTAATGTGAAGTTCCAGCTCCTCTGCGTGACACACACAGCTTGTCCACGTTTGATCCTACTTCTAACCTCACTTCCCAACCTAGGGTCTGCACTGCTGCTCATCCCTCCCAAACCCTGCTGCTACCTGTCTGTGCCTTTGCACCTGCTGTTCTCTGTGTCTGGACTACCCTTCTCCCTGATCCTTATGCAAAACTCCTATTCCTCTTTCCAAAACAACTTGTATATCTCTGCTTCTGCGAAGCCTTTTGTGAGATTTCCTTCCTTGACTTATTGTTGTCTATACTTTATGCTTATCTCCATGACTACATTTATCTGCTGAATATAGTTCAGCCATCAGGAGCCCCAAGGCAACTCTGCGCATGTGAGGGGGAGCCCTAATATTCTTGGGGGGGGGAGTCTGAATTAGATGGTACATGTTAGAGCA